GGAAGTAAAATACAAATAACTATATACCTGCAATGGAAGGTAATTTTAGAGGGAAGACATTGGGAGTGGGGGTAAGGACCCTTACAGAAAGAAGGGGCAGTATTGATGTTTGAGCTGTTTTTAAGGAAATCAAGAAAGTCACAAATATGATTGTTAGTGTCTTAGGACTACCCAGATGAATTGGCTGGCTTGGACTTTTAGGAGGATGGATTCACTAAAGAGGAGTCATTCCTTTTTTTCTGGGGGATCAGACTGCTGAGAGACTTTCAGCCCCTTTTGGATTTTTCTCTTTCCCACTTTTATTCTAGAGAGATCCTGTGAATATTTCAAGAACCATTAATACAGGCTTTAGAGGAGGCACATGGTCAACTGCATGGCCTGCATAATTTAAATTGTCCCAAATCTCAGCTTTCTTTGGGAGCTCTTGAGTGTTTCTTCTCTAGCAGGCCTGGTTTAGAGAATTCTAGAAGTATAGCTCTAGTAGGAAGATATCCTGGGCAGCCTGATTCTAGAATCCATCTTCTTTGTCATAGGAGTTGTTTCCCAGACAACACCAGCCTCAGGGACTGGCTTTTGAGTTATCCCAATTGATTCGGCCTTCTTTTGAGAGAATTTCCTTCCAGTACTGTCATTGAAAGAGAAGATTGCTGACATGGCCTCCGGTGCTGAAGGGAACTGGATTTTACACTTTACCTTACCGTTATTTGCATGGTGTGAGTCTGGAAGGGAGGTTGCCTGTCTAGCAGATGAGTTTTCTTTCTGCAGAGTCTAAGCCCTCAGACTGGTTTCGTAAGGTTGGGTGTATCTGTGTGAGTCTCTGTGTGGTTATAAAGGGACTCATCAAAACATTAAGGCATTGCCTGCCTATAAGCCCAAAGCTGAACATCCTTTCGAGGGGAGCCCAAACCACAGGATGAAGTCTAAAGAACTTCAGACCTCTGTGGAAAACTGGGACCCACAAGAGGGGGAAGATTATGAGTTAGAATGGGTTCTTCATGTATTTTTTGCATTATGAGTGCTAGTCTACCTTCGACACTTTCTGCAGAGTGAAATAAAGTCTGTACTCAACCCAACAAATGCATTTATTATCTTGAGTGGTTATACAGAAGCTAGAGATACCTTCTTAGACATAAATATGTTGAGATTTCTTAAACTCTGGGTGTGGCATAATGTGCCAAAGACTCAGTGATGTTATACAGAAGTTCCAAGATTAAACCCACTCTTTGTAATCTCTGACCTTGGAAGCTCCTGACCTCTTATCATGTGGAACTCATGAACATTTAGTTGGGAACCACTGTCCTAGACTTTAGCTTGGGCAGTATCTAGTAATTCTTTCTCTCCTGGCAGATATTTCCTTTGCCCATGATATATACACATACTGAGTCAACATGAAATATCCAGTGACCACCACAATGTATTTTGACACCTAATTATATGATGTTTCATATGTGTATGTCTTGTCTTCTCAGAAAGACTCTAAACTCCTCCTTTAAGGGCAAGTATCTCCTTTTGTGCATCTCCTTTAAATTCCCTTTCCCCCCCTTTTACCCAAGTATCTAAAAAAATTAAACAAAAATTCTAAGAACTACAGTTGCCTAAAAATAGAATGGGTGATCTCATGAGCTGATTCACAAGAAGTATTCAAGCAGAGGCTGTGTGAACATCTGTCAGAATTCCTGCATTGGGTAGGAGGTTAAAGTAAAGGATGTTTAAAGGTTCTTTTCAATTCTATTACATATTTGTTTAATATATTTCCTGAACTGAATCTTTTTATAGACTTTGGACCACTACCCTAGAAATGGGTAGGAAGACAGAAAAAAAGACACTTTTCTTCTTGGGTTTTTTTTTTGGCAATTGAGGTTAAATGACTTGCCCAGGGTCACACAGCTAGTAAATGTCAAGTGTTTGGTCTGAGGCCAGATTTGAACTCAGGTCCTCCTGACTTCAGGGCCTGTGCTCTATCCACTGTACCACCTAGCTGCCCCAAAAGATACTTTTCTTTTGGATCAGTAATAGTTACAGATGCTTGTAAAGATTAGGACTACATAAAGGTAATAGCCCAGGACTTCCAGGAGCCAAGATGGCAGAGTAAGCAGTAAGTCTCTCTCATCCTCCCTTACTGACCCTGAAAAACCCAGAAAATACCACCCCAGGAAAAATCCTGGAACAGTGAAGCCAGTAGAAGTTTGGGGTGCAGCTTATGAGGCTAGGGGGATTAATGGGAAAGTTCCCTCTTGCTGTGGCTGAAGAGGACCAGTAAAGGACGGGAGGCTTCCCGGCAAACCTCACTTCAGCAAACCAGCAGGAGAGACTGCGGCCTACGGGGTGGAGTAGGCACAGCCAGGGGAACCGGCAGACACCAGTGTGGAGAATCATGTGCACCACTGGACAATCATCCACCAGCCGCTGAAACTATCCATGTTGTAGTACAGCCCTGGGGGAGGCAACGTCCAGCAGCAGGACCACACTGTGAGCTTCAGTGTGACTCCAGTGAAACCCAGAAAAATCCCACCCAGCCTTTGCACACATGAGCCACTACCACCAGCTCCAGTTCAGCACCAGGTAAGCTACCAGACACCCACAGCCTCTAACTGTCAGCACCTGAGACCGCAGCACATAAAGCCAGTAACCAAGCTCCTAGCCCCCAGCACAAAAAGTGTGGGACAGTGGCCCCTGTGCCCCAGATGCAGAGATTAACTTTAAAAGCCAGGAAACAGACAAACACCATAAGCAACAAGTAACAAAGAAAAACAAAGAACATAGATTCTTACTGTGGGGATACGGAAGATCAAAACACAAATTCAGAAGAGGACGGTATTGTCAATATACCCACATCCAAAACCTCAAAGGGGAATATGAAGCCCAAAAAGCCTTCTTGGAAGAACTGAAGAAGGATTTTAAGAATCAAATAAGAGAAGTAGAAGAAAAACTGAACAATTTCTTTAAAAATACAATTGACAAAATAGAAAAAAGTACACTGAAGAAAACAACACCTTAAAAAGTAAAATTGGCAAAATGGAAAAGGAGGTATAAAAGCTAACTGAAGAAAACAATTCATTAAAAATTAGAATTGGGCAATGACTCTGAGACAGCAAGAATCAGTCAAACAAAATCAAAAGAATGAAAAAATAGAAGAAAATATAAAATACTTCATTGGAAAAACAACTGTTCTGGAAAATGAGATCCAGGAGAGAGAATTTAAGAATTGTTGGTCTTAAAAAAAAAAAAAGAATTGTTGTTCTACCCAAAAGCCATGATCAGAAAAAGAGCCTGGACAGCATCTTTCAAGAAATCATCAAGGAAAACTCCCCTGAGGTCCTAGAACCAGAGGGTAAGATGGACATCAAAAGAATACACCAAACACCTCCTGAAAGAAATCCCAAATTGAAAATGCCAATGAGTATTGTAGCCAAATTCCAGAATTATCAGGTCAAGAAGAAAATACTGCAAGCAGCCAGAAAGAAACAATTCAAATATGGTGGAACCACTGTCAGGATTACACAGGACCTTGCAGCTTTTACATTATAAGATCGGAGGGCTTGGAATAAGATATTCCATAAGGCAAAGGAGCTTGGATTACAACCAAGGATCAACTATCCAGCGAAAATGAGCATAATCTTTCAGGGGAGGAGATGGACATTCAACAAAATAGGAGACTTCCAAACCTTCCTGATGAAAAGACCAGAGCTCAATGGAAAATTTGATCTTCAAATACAAGATTCAAGAGGTATAGAAAAAGGTAAACAGGAAAGAAAAAAATGATGTTATTCAATAAGGGCAAACTGTCTACATCCCTACATGGGAAGATGATACTTGTAACTCTTGAGAACTGTATCTTTATTATGACATTTAGAAGGGATATACAAAAACAGAGGGTGTGGGTATAAAAAGGTAATAGTACTGGCATAGTATCTTCCATCTTTACTCTGAAATTACATATCAAAAGCCTAAGAGGAGCTCAGCAGCTTTTGGTGTTCCCACTTTAGAAAGTTACAAGAATTCTGAAGAGAAACAAGAAATGAGCGAGGAGACTGGGGCAAGAGAACCATGGGTTGAGACAGAAAATGATAATGGCTGAGACTTGGTCCTGATATCCAGTTCCAAGGTTGCTGCACGGGGAAGCAATAACACTCTGTACAATGTAATGAGTATCTTTTGCTGGTACTCTGTCTTGCTGTGAGTCCCACTGGCCTACAGTACTCTACAGAGAAATCCTGCATACCAACATTGCAGTTTCCGATGCTACATTCACATCTTGCTGTGAATGAATTGATATATGCAGATCCTGGCACGTTGCAGAGGTGGCAGATTAAACCTAGAATGGCTCATCAAAAACCAAGACCAGCAATTCTCCCCAGGAAACTCTCTGGGTGAGGAGTGGCCCTGGAAAATGAGTGGTGGGAGTGTTGTTGCTTAATTATTTATTCTTTGCTATGCATTCTAACTTTAAGTAAATGTCCTTTGCCTTACTATGATATCACACAATTCATTGTGACAGCAGAAATAAGGGCTTATGAGCTGTGAATGAAAACAGAAGATTTCCCCTTGAATACTACGGAACCATTTGTAGTCAACATTAGAGGGCCTATGAGCTACATATAGTTTTGGAACAGGGCTAGTAGTTTATGGACAAGTTATGTTCATTGGGTACACATTATGAGCAATGTCTCATATTCCTTCCCCAGCTTTCAATACATTATAGTGACAATAGGCACCATCTCCCCAGCTAAGCCTGTTCCTTTCAGGCAGTGGGGAGAGCCTTGGCAAAGGGTTCCCTTATTTTGGTAGGGACAGGAATCTGGGAAGTGGCCTTTAGCAGGATAGGGAGAGTATGGTGAGAAGGAAAAGGTAGGACTTATTTGGGACTAGGATTAGGAATACAAAGGCAGTTGACTGGTGTGTTCATACTAAATTCCTTTTTTTTTTCCCCTTTCATACTAAATTCTTCAACTGAGTCTGTGCCTTTTGGTGGCCATTTGAGACAAAGAGAGGCAGAAGAGGAACTTTCAGATACATTTATTCAAACATCTTTTGTCTGGCACTCTCCCCTTCCAACTAATGCTTTCTCCATCTTTCTTCTGGTCTATGACATCATTGCAGCTATCAGTGGTTGTTCTTCAGTTGTCCTTCAAGTTTATCAATGCCTTAACTACAAAAAAATAGATTGTGAGAATGAAGTTCTTTAGTCATCCTGAATAGCATATGTCTTTAGTGAGGACTCCATTTGTTGGGGTTTTGGTCCCCATAGCAAAATTGCCTTAAGTTGTATGTGTGTGTGGTTCCACATTTTTATGTTTCTCAACACAACTGAAGCTAATCCTAGATCTAGCTTTTAAGTCTATCTCAAGTTAATATCCAGGAACTAGAGAGGCCAGTTTACTATCCTCTCTTCTCTCCAACAAATTATCCAAGCTCTTTAGAGCAAGATAAGAGAGCTGGAAGAGTTGTGAAAGAGTGGAGGCAAAATGGTATGCAAAACTTTGAAGTACTTAACGTTTGGCAGCCTCTCCTTGTGGGTGAGTCCTTAGTCTTGATGGACCCAGTGTCCTTATGCAGCCTCTGGCATTATGATCTGCTCCTGTAGCCCCACAACTTCTCCATATTCTCTTGTTCTCCTTTGGGTTGTATAGAAACTAAATCACCTTGGCTCTCCCTCACTACTTTACTGCTCAGGGTGTGGCCCAAATTTTCTATTATGTCCCAATATAGGCACTTTCCCTCTGAGGTACTCTCATCTAGACTAAGCTGTTTTAGTGATACTCTCTCATATTCTCAAATCCTGTTATTCTCTTCCCTAACTCTGTTCTGGTCCCAACCTTGAACTGAGACTTTGCTTCTTGATTGCTGGAATGGAATCTGAAAAACTCAACTGCCAGAAAAGAGCCATTTTGTAAGCCACCAACCGAGCTCAGTTAATTTCTATACTTAGTCTTTGTATTGATTTCTGTGGAACATTCATCTGCTTTGAGCCTAAAAAAAATTTCTAGGGAACAGTGGTCTTTCAAACCACTATCTTAAGCATCTCTTGGTCAGGTAATTGTTTCTGTCCCTCAGATGCTTCCTACCTGCAAATTCTTGTAGCTGTTTGCGTTCTTCTATGTTGTATTGAAGCTTTTCTAGCAATTCAAAGTATCGAAAGAGTGAGTCTCGGGGCCAAACCACCTGCTCATCCTGGTCCATTTCCATCAGCCCATGGAGATTCTGGTGCACATGGGTCTCCCAGTCCACTAGGCTATCAGAGACCACTGTGAGGAAGAGCTGTTTTTGAGAAGCATGTCTGGAGTCAGGGATGGGTTAAATATAAGAGGAGATGACCAAGAGTTGTTAGAGGGGAGAATGGGGGGATGTGAGAGGCAAAAGGGCATAACACTAAAGTGTCAGAGCCCAGATGGGAAGATAGGAAAACCTCAGAAAGAAAGTGCTGGAATATTTGGGTCTGAATGGAAGACAGTTCAACTCACATAGGTATTCTTGCGGAGCTGTGAAGTCTTTTGGGACAGATGTCTTCGTTAAGTTTTCAGTTTGAGACATTTCACCCGTTAACAATGATGCTGAATGATGAGAAGTCTGGGGGGCGATGTGGCCACTAATGTGGAAAAAGGCCACTTTCATTTCTTTAGCTATATCCAGAGAGTATGACTTCTGGTATATTTCAGCTTCTTGATTTGAGCCCAGCTCTAGACCCTGTAGCTCAGGTTTTAGGCCATGAGTAGGGCAGGGTCCAAAACGTTCACAGAATTCAGACCTGAGCACTTAGAATTTTAGTCAGTCAATATCAGCCCATATCTCAATTTCATAGTCATATCCATGCCCCTCAGCCAGTGTTTGCCTTCTAAACACATATCTATCCTCACGTCTACCATTCCCATTCATATTCCCAAGTCTTGCTCTCCCATCTCCACAGCCTTACCATTCCCCACTATCCCCACAAACATACTTTCTCCCCTAAGCTCCATTTCTATTTTCCATTCCCCAGTGTTGTTCCCTCTGTCCCAACCCTTAGCTTTGGCTGTCTACTGCCCCATTCTTTACCATTCTTTATCTCTGCCTCCACTCATTAATGCACACTCCTTACCTAGAACTTCTGATCTTGGCTTTTTCTCCATCTTTTTGGTTAAGTCTCCTGTTGATCAGAGAACAAAGAGTGAAGGGAATTGCACTTGAGTCTGTTGGAAAACCAAGAGGGCAGAAAGGAAAAGGAGAGGAATAGAAGATGGAATTAAGGCCAAAAAATGGGAAAGGGGAAGATATTGGTAAAGATGGTAGGAAAGGAACAGAATAAGCTTAGGTGAAGAGCAGGGAAGGATTCTGTGCCTAGGCATTTCTTATTAGAAAATCTGGGGATTGAGGGTTGGGCAGGAGACAAAGGATCAAGAGGAGGAGAAAAGGTGACTTGATTTGAAGTTGGAAGAAGGAGGGAGGTCAAGGGATCCTTCAGGGCCAAAGACGTCTTTGAGAACGGGGAGGGAAGGTGTTGGACCTTTTGATGATTTGGCGCTTGAATATGCTGGCTTTGTGCTGCATCTCTGAATGTGTTGCCTCCTCACTGAGCTCATTCCTGATTGCCTGGAAATTAGTAACTGCCACAAAGAGTCATGAAGGAATTGGGTTGGGTGAATGCTGAGACAGACTAAGAGAAGCTGGGGGACACTGGAGGACCAAAGGAAACATGCCTTCCAGGCCTAGCTCCTACCTCCCACATCTAGTTCACTTCTTACCCTCAATCACACAACACTGATTCTATCCTTCTCTCCCTCCCAAGTTACCCTTTTCCCCACGCTCCTCTGACCTCATAGGTCCCCCCACCCCACCCTAGCCCTTGCTCACCCATCATAGCTACTATGATGTTGCGGAAGATGATGGAGCCAAGCAACAGCCAGAGGATAACGTATAAACTACTGAATGCTTTACTCAGGGCAGGAACTCTCCAGGCATCCTGAAGCAGTGCATACCAGTGATCCAGGGTGAAGAGGATGAACACTGTCACCAGGGAGTTGGGCATATTCCTACAGAAAAGAATAAAATGGGAAATAGAAAAGAATTGAGTGAGGAATAGAGACAAGAAGCTAGGTTTCTCAAGAAAAAAGCCAGGTGCCGAGTCATGCTTACTTTTGAAACAACATTTCTCTTATTTGTGGCCTACTATGATTTTTACCTCCTTTTCTGTCATATTTTAATTTACCTCTTTAATAATTCTTCAGTTTGTATTTGTATGGTTATACTTTCTTTTCTAAGTGAATAATCCAGCTCTCAGCCTATTTAGCTTTATCTTATTCCTCTCACTTGCCAAATTGGCTTTTAATTGTAGTCTTATTCTCTACTGGTGGTAGTTGTTGTTTTTCAGTCATTTCAGTTGTGTCCAATTCTGTGACCCAATTTGGGGGCTTTCTTGGCAAAAATACTGGAGTGGTTTGCCATTTCCCTCTCCAGCTCATCTGACAGATAAAGAACTGAGGTTAAATGACTTGGCCAGGGTCTAAGTAGTGTTCTGAGGCCAGATTTGAACTAAGGAAGATGAGTCTTCCTGATTTTAAGCCCAGTGCTAAACCCATTGTGCCACCCAGCAGCCCATTCTCAGCTGTGGACCCTTTCTAATATATCACCTACAAAAAAACCTGCTTTCCCTTTATCTTTTCAGTGTGTGAATAGATATGTAAGTGTTTGATACACGTATAAGTAATAGGTCTATCATGTTTGCAAATAACCCTATCACTAAGAAGTTACAAAAGGTCTCACAAATATGACTCTTCCCCACCTTGTTTCCCTTTTGACTCTTTTTAACTTTCTGAAAATACTAACGCTGAATAGAATGAGACTTTGAATCTTAATGATAATAGTAACTGAGACCCATATAATGCTGTTAAAAGTTTCTTTTTGCTTTACATGGACTATTTCATTTAAATATTTGCTAAATATTAATTATTAATAATTAATTTATTAAAATATTTAAAGTTATTACTTAATTTAGAAAAGGGCAGCTGGTGATGCAGTGGATAGAATGCTATGCCTGGAGTCAGGAAGACCCATTTTCCTAAGTTCAAATCTGGCCTCAGACACTTACTAGCTGTGTGACCCTGGGCAAGTCACTTAACCCTGTTTGCCTCAGTTTCCTCATCTGCAAAATGAATAGGAGAAGGAAATGGCAAACCACTCCAGTATCTTTGCCAAGAAAACCCCAAAAGGGATCATGAAGAGCTGGACACAACTGAAAAATAAATGAACAGCAACTTAGAATTACTAGGGACACTAAGAAGAACCCTGCTAGGAGCTTACTGGACCAAACCATGTCTATTTTCTGATAAGCCTAATTAATGTCTTATACATAACACTCTAAATAATTATAGTCAAGACAACTTTCCCTGGATTTAAATGGAGCATCTATTGACAATCAGGGAACATCTAAGCATCTTCACAGAGGGTAACTGAATATAACTGAAGATGTCAAGAAGTTTGCTTGGTGCATTTTATGTGATATGTAATCCCTATATCTACAGTGACAGTAATGATTAGAATTGTTTTTCTCTAGAAGCCTAGAAGTAGACCTTATGACAATGTCTGATAGCTATGGATGTCTGGGGAATATATACATGTATGCAACTTAATATCCTAGACTATACCTGGAGTGAATATTGTTCCCTAACCCTATGAAAAGGTCTTTGGGAGGTCTTTCTGTTCTAAAGATCATGGTCAATACCATTTGTTATATTCTCCAACCCTCCCCTACCCACCTTATTATATTCTCCACGTTCTTATGACTATGATCCCAGACTTTACCTCAATTTTTGTTTGAGTTCTGCTCCCTAGTCCCACACTAAGTTCCCTTTACCTCCTCCAGGTTTGCCCAGTCCTGCCTACATGAAGTACATCTGGTATTCCAAGTCCTGGATGTCTGAACGGCTGTAACTCTCAAAGAAGTAGATACCAGCCAGAGCGAAAATGTAGAAGAAAATAAGTAACAGCACCAGGAGGAAGGTCATGGTCTGGAGGCCATAATCAAAGGACAGTTGAATTAGGCCAGACTGCTCTCTCCCAACAACCTAACCCAGTCCAGCCCAGGTATTTGACATTATAACCCTCACTCTCATTCATCCCCAAATTACTATAACCCAATCACCAATTCACTCCCATCCAATAAACTATCGGCCATTTGGCCTGTTCATCTCCTGCACTTTCCTCTGCTTCATATTTGGCACCAGCTTCCCACCCTACCCTTTTATTGGTTGCTACAGTTACCTTAAGAGCCCTGACAAGGGCCAGGATGATGACTCGGATTTGGCGGAACCGTGCAAAGAGTTTGAGTGACCTCAACACCCGGCAGATACGTAGCAACTGCAGCCACACTGATTCACCTGTGACCCCTATTAGCACCACTATCTCAGGAAGCAAAGACTGTGGGTACCACACAAAGTACTGATATTAGACAATCTTCCCCATGTATTACCTTTCTGACTCTGTTCCCTCATCTTCATCCTCCCCACCCTCCCACCCCCAACCACTGACTGCCATTTCTAGGGCACGGTCTGCCCACCTCTCAGTTTTCAGAGGAGTAGGAAAGTTGAGAGAAGCAGCAAAGCTTCCAAGTTTCTTTTCTTTGTATAACCTAAATATAACCTCATGTAATCTGCCCCAATCCATCTCCCACTGTAGATTCTTGTAGGCTGCTTCCTATATTCCTAGGCTCACCTTTGAGCATCCCCTTTTAATCTTACCAGTGTGGTGACAAAAAAGTCAAAGAGATTCCAAGCACTTTTCCAGAAGAGGAAGAAATTGTACAACCAGAAGAGAAGAATCTCCAGTATGAAGACAAACAAGATGAACCAAGATCCCACCTCTAGAGCCATCATTATTGGCAACATTCTGACATCTGTAGTATTCACTAACTCTGTATGAAGGAGGCAAGTAGTAAGAGTCAAGAGGAAGGATGTAAAAAGGGTTTGTCAAATGACTTAAAGAATGCACAGATGTCATATAAGCCAAACTTTTTGTCAATGTTGTCCTACTTTCCTTAGGCAGCTAGGTGGCACTGTGCACATAGTTGTTTAGTATATATAGCATAAAGTATATAGCTTAGCATATAGTAAAGCTTGGTGCTCTAACTAGCTCAGACACTTACTAGCTATGACCTTGGAAAGTTACTTAAACTCTCTCAGCTTCAGGTTCCTCATCTATAAAATGGGGATGTTATAAAAACAGGGCTGTTGTGAGGATCAAATGAGATAATTATAAAGCACTCAGTATAGCATCTGGCACATCCTAAGTGTTATATAAATGTCAGCTGTTATTATTACCCTCCATTCTTCCAATTTGCAATACTGCAAGTGACACATTGAGAGGGGAAGGCACAGATCACTGCCACTAGCTACTGCCCCTTTCCTGATTGATAGACAGTTTTTAAAGATAAAAGGGAACTGAAGTCATCTAGTTCAGCTTCATTTTATAGATGAGAAAATTGAAACCTGGAGAAATTGTTGACTTGCCTAAGATCACATAGGGGAGGTAGTGTGGTGCAGAAAAAAAAAGAAAAAAAGAAAAAAAACCCCACCAGATTTGGGTTCAAGCATCTTTACTATTTGATGTGGCATTAGATAAGTTACTTTATATTTCTGAGTCTCAGTTTTCTAATCTGTAAACTGAGGGGCTTGAAATCTTAGCTATCTTCCAGTTCAACTTACTCATCTTATAGATAAGGAAACTGAGACTTAGAAAATCCCTTAACCTCATTCTTATATGTAAAATGATAATACTTGCATTAATGGGCTTGTTTTGAAGCAAATGCTTGGAAAACTTCAAAGTATCATCAAAACATAAACCATAATTCAGATATTGAAACATCGAATCTTGATCCAAAAGCTTGGGAATTCTTAAGCTTAATTATCAAGTCATAAAGACACTAGGTAATGAATAGAGCTGTGCTCTAGAAAAATCCACACTCATCTATAGATTAGAACACTCAGTAATCAGTGAAGGTTGAAAGTTGTGTTTATGTTTGAAAGCTGGACTTTATTTAGGAGTAGTTATCTTGAGGAGTAAGTGGTAGAGTTAGACTACTTCCTTCTACTAAACAGGCCAGGTGGTTCATATGCTTTCAGACCATTAGAATTTCCAGGGATAGAGGACTATCCCCTGCTCCCTTTCAATTTTAGAAAGTATAAAGAATTCAGATTATCTCACAGAACACTAGACAAATAATAGATTGGCTTCTAAGACTATCAGCTACTCAGTCAATAAGCATTTATGAAGCACCTACTATGTGCCAGGCACTGTGTTAACCTTTAAGGATACAAATAAAGGCAAAAGACATTCCTTGCCCTCAAGGAGCTCACAATCTAATGGAGTGACATGCAAACAACTATGTAAAAACAAGCTATGTACAGGATTAATAGGAAATAATCTATAGAGGAAAAGCACTGGAATTAAGACGGATTAGGGAATGCTTCCTGTAGGTGAGATTTTAGTCGGGACTTGAAGTCAGGGAAGTCAGGAGGCAGAGATGTAGAGGGACAGTATTCCAGGCATGTGGGAACCACCAGAGAAATGAGAGTTGGAGTAGCTAGCTTGTATGAGTGACTGCAATAAGGCCAGTGTCATGAGACTGAAAAGTATGAGTTGAGGTATAAAGTGTAAGAAGACTGGAAAGAGGGTGGGCAATAGATTATGAAGAGCTTTGAATATCAGAGAATTTTATATCTGATCTTAGAGGTGATAGGGAGCCCAACTGTGATGTGAAAAGATCATAGCACATCATTATTTATAGATATGTTCTAATAATAACTCACAGTAATACTCTTTGCATTTATATGTTTTAAGGTTTATGAAGTGGTTGGAGGATTTTTGTTTGTTTGTTTTTATCACAACAGCCTTGGGAGGTAAATATTATTATCTGCATTTTACAGATGAGGAAATTGAAGTTCAGAGAGATTTAATGACTGGTCCCTGGATTATATAGTTTTGGAGATGGCATTTAAACTCAGGTCTTCGGACTCTAAAAATCAGTCTTCTTTCCCCTATGCCTTAAAGTGCAATTTGCAAATTTACTTATTAAAATCCTGCCTATACTTTACATTTTGATGGATGGTTATTGGCTTAAATAAGACCCTACAAGTGTGAAAATAACGATTTTGTAAAACTTCCCGACTAGTGAAATTCATAAAAACTTAATGAATTCCATTGTTCATCAGATCAACAGTATAACCCCCTCTGAATTTTGTTTCTGATGGTGATACCAAGAGAATATTTTTGTGGAGGTTATTCTTTATGATATCACCTCAAACAGTTAGGGATGTATACCAAACACCTTCAGTTTCCTCTTATAATTCATTATATATCCATCATACATTGATTTATCTAAACTCATCTTGAACCCCATTAAAATGTATCACATTTTACTAGAAGAGCTACTTAAGTTTACTACTTTCGTAAAGTTATGTTTCCTTCGTAAGAGATGCTCCCTCTTTCTGGATTCAGTGACCACATCTATGTTCACCTATTTATAGCCTTTATGATTAAAAAACCCTATTCTGAGGTCTCGTTGTAGCATGGAAGAGATCTTGGGTTCTCAAAAGCTATGGCAGTAGGCCTTAAGTTCTATCATGTACATGTTATTTCCCCACACTAGCCAGCCCCTTGAAGGTAAGGTCTGTTTTCTTTTTGTTTCTCTAGTCTCAGGGTCTGCCACTTAATAGGCACTAACTGAATGCTGGGAAGGTAAATGCAGTTTAGGCAACCATCTCTGCCTTAAAAGTACCAGTCTAGGTAAGTACAGATACATTCAGCACCTACTGATGAATTATTTTATCATTAAGTACTACATCCTAGGCACTGTGCTAAATGTTGGGTACTCAAAAAGAGGCAAAAGACAGTCCCTAATCTCAAAGAGCTCACAATTGAATGGCATCATATGAAACAAAGAAAAATATAAAATGTCCCTCAGTCCTGTATGGTCCACTTTTGTTTCTGCAGTGACAGTGAATCCTTTGCCAAGCCAAGAGATTTGTCAGCCAAGAGAAATGCCAGTGGCAGAGAGAAGAAAAAAAAGAAGAGGGTGCTAAAAAATCACACTGATTCTAGACTGTCTATAAACATTAATATAACTGTTGGTAATTTTCATGTGAGACTCTCATCCGGTGACCAGTGAATTAGTAGACATATATTACTGGAGGAACAGAACCATGTCCATCTTAACATTCTTATTATAAATGAAAACAAAAGATGAAAGGAAATTGAAATTAAATGGAAGGTTTGCTCATACATCCTACCTAGAGAGTCAAATAAAGAAAGTGGATGAGTTAATTTTATTGTATGTCCGAAAACCACAGGAAACATTTCATGGGACATTTGATCATCTCATATTGAAGTATATGTAATGAGCATTTGCAGAAAGACTACCATAAAAATAACTGTAGTTTATGTGTCAATTTCTATTACAGAGGAGGAAGAGAAATTCTACAAAGAACTTGATAAGGCTTTTATATTAACATGTACTTTAATTCTTATTAATTTCTACTCAAAAGTAAGCACAAGAGAGAATAATGAAAAATATGGCCAAAAATGTGGCTCAGGAATAAGACAGAAGAGAAGCCAAAGGCTTACATGTTCCATAGAAGGCTCATATCTACATATTGGTTAAAAAACAGACAAAAAAAAACTTACTTTGAGAAGAGAATCAGGAGGTGCTAGACATGGGTAAGTATCAAATAACATCACAAAAAGTGAAAGTGATTATGTTTTAGCTGAAAGTAAAAAACTGGTTATTGCTGTGGGAATTATTTCTGAATTACCAGTCTATGTAGTTAGACCAATGATGTGTTATAGCAAAGATCAAAATCAATATCAAACTAGATGAATAAAAAAGAGATGATAGCATGACCTTCAATTGAGCCAATTGCAACCTGACCTATTTAAGCAAACTGTTGATGTTAAAAAACAGGGAATGGTTAAAAAACAAAGACCAGATACTGACACAGACTACCATCACTGACTAAGGTAGTTTGACTGATGTAATCACCATAATGAGGGCAAAAGAATTTATAAACCACATTAGCCTGCAAACCCTTGAACTCCTCAGCCAAGAGAAATGCCAGTTTTGAATACAAACCTGCTTACAAAATCTTACAGAGGAGGATAGTGGAAGATTATAAGCTATATTGCCTCATAAAACAAGAAAAAACAGTAGGTGGAAAAACAAGTTTGCAGAAAGTTTGGTGAGAGATACAACTAATTAAAATTATCCTGAGGGTATTTAATGAAGAAACTTTAAGAAGGAAAACAAACAGACAAAAATTGGAGAAGATACATAAACAAGGGTGTGATAGAGCCAGCTTGTATTGGTCCTTTAGAGCTGATTGTTAAATTTGCAGTGTGAGTGTTTATGTTCAGAAATCAACAAATGCTACAAATCAGAACTTAATTTATTATTCTGTAATTGTCTTGACCTAAGAAAGTGGTAGAGAAAATATGAATAATGAAGATTAAACTTGAACTTGTGCATAAATTCCACCCGTCCCCCCAGGGAGCCTGTTAAACATTTACCAATACCACAAACTTTTTTCACTATGAATGACAATAGAGCCACCATTTTTGGACCCCAACATCGAAGTCCTAAATGTACTGAATAAAGAAGTAGAAGCACTGAAGAAAACAAAGATAAGAACAGATGGATTATCCTGAGTGTACATAGTAGGAATCTATGCTGGAGACAATACTATATACTCAACTGAAACTATCCTCTCCACTATCCTCAGTGACCTAAGTGCTAAATCCAAATTTTTTTTCCCGTCTTTATTTTCATTTGACCTCTTTTTAGCTTCTGACACTATCAACAACCTCTTCTTCCTGGGATACTTTTCTCCTCTCTTGTCTTCCATGAAATTCTCTCCACTGGTTCTCTTTTTACCTGCTTGACCTTCTGATTCTCTCTTTCTGAATCATATTCATCTCTTAATCAACAAGCATGTGTCCCCCCCAAAAAGAGAAAAAAGCTAACCAAAAAAAGGAAAAAAAGCTAACCAAAAAAAAAAAGAAAAAAGCTAACCAAAGGGGAAAAAAAGAAAAAAAAATAAGCATGTGTTCTCCAAGACCTTTTGATTTCTTCTCTCTGCTCTTTGTTTTTGCATCAGCTTCCTGAGTTCAAAAATCATCTGTTCAGATGACTGCCAAACCTATATATCTAGCTCTAGTCTCTCTCCTGAACCACAGTCCTACATACTGGATATCCCATCACCATCTCAAATTTTACATATCCAAAACTGTTTCCCCAAAAAGCTCACTCCTCCTCGAAACTTTCTTGTTTCTGTTGAGGGCAATACCATCTTTCTAGTCACTAAGGAGTACAACTTGTCATCACTGACTCTTCCCTCATCCATTACTCCTCATAAACTATCAATTACCTAGTCTTACTGATTCTACCTCTACATCATCTCATGTATTTTGCCCCTTTTCCCTCCTTTTATGGCCATTACTTCTTAATTAGTCTCCTTGCCTCAAGTCTCCCCTCTCTTCAAACTATCCTATACATAGCTGCCTAGGTCTGACTACATCATGTCTCCCTAGTCAAAAGTCTTCAGTGACTTCCTATTGCCTGTAGAATATAAACTACTCAGTATGGCATTCAAACTTTTAACAATTTGACTCTCAATCACAATCTGGCTATCTTCCCAGGCTTGTTTTATGTTACTTTTCCTTTTTATATACTCTGTAATCCAAACTGGCATCTTAGCTATCTCCTATACCTGGAAAACATGTCCTTCTCACTTCTGCCTCTTATTATCTCAACTTTTTTCTAGGGTCAGCTCAAGCTTCATCTCCAGCAGAGAGTCTTTCAGGAACTCTGATGTGCTTCTTCCCTCTTCCTCCCCCTCCTCTCACAACTGTTAGTGCTTTCTTCTCCTTCAAATTATATGGCACTTATCTGTTTATATGTTTTAGTCAGCTGGGAAAAAATGTTAGCTCCTTGAGAAAAGGAACTGATTCAATTTTGTCTTTGTTCTTGCAGCACTGTGCACAAAGTCCTGCACATCGTGTTTAATAAGTATTTATGGAATTGAAGATAAGTGAGGTGATGGTGAGAGTACCTAAGCTGCCCTGGATGGGGTCAAGTCATCAGGCCTAGATAAAATGACATTCCAGAGCACTAAAAGAACTGGCAGATGTGATTACTGATCTGCTAACAGTGATCTCTGGATTATGTATGGAGTGATCAAAAAAAAAATCATGAAGTATTAAAGACAGGCAAATGTTGTCTTGATTTTCAAATAAGTGAAGCAGATACAGTCTGTAAGCTTCAGATTGATGAGCTTGAATTTTACTCCTCGCAAAAATCTAGGACTATTAAAGAGTTCTTTTATGAGCATTTGGATAACTCATCTTGTTTAATCAATAAAGAGTTCAAGTCAGACTAATGCCATTTTTGTATTTTAACTGGAGGAGAGGGCGTCAATGGATTGAGAGATTAAGAGAATTTAGTAGATATAATAAAGCTGGATTTCAAGCAACTCACCACATTTTTTGGACTAGTTGGAGAACTCTGGATTAGATAAAAGTAGAGTTAGGTAGAATCAGCATTTACTGAATGTAGAGTGATTTATCTTTGGTCCTTGGAATAGAACAGTTTGATATTTTTTCCCAGATCCTTTGATGAAGGAATTGATGGCATATTTATCAGATTTGCAAATGGTATGAAGCTGAGGAGGATAACTAATATGCTGGATGACAAGAATTAGGATCAAACTCAACAGACTGAATCTAATAGTATGAAATTCAATAAGGATCAATGTAAACTCACATTTGGTGAAAATAATGAACTATACAAGTACATAATAGGTGTGTGCATGTGACTAAACAAAGATCATCTGATAAAGACCTAGAGATAAGCAAATTACAAACTTACTATGAGTCAATACTAATTGAAGAAAAGAGCAGAAAGGTGGCACAGTAGGTAAAGTGCAGGCCCTGAAGTTAGCATGACTCTTCTTCCTGAGTTTAAATCTGGCCTTAGACACTTAATAGCTGTGTGGTCCTGGGCAAGTCATTTAATCCTATCTGCCTCAGTTTCCTTATCTGGAAAATGAGCTGGAGAAGAAAATGGCAAACCACTCCAGTATCTCTGCCAAGAAAACCCCAAATGGGATCACGAAGAGTTGGACATGATTGAAACTGACAAAATGGATCACATCCAGAGGGGAGCAATCTGGATGGATTGCCTCTGACAAAAGCTAGATGATCAGAAGCCATCTAGCTGAACCCTCCCATTCTAAAAAATGAGAAAACTGAGGCCTAAGAATGCTAAGTGACTTGTCCAAGGTCACACAGAAGTTTAAATATAAGAGATTTAAATTTAAATTCTTTTTCTGCAGACCCATTCTTTCCACTGTAGCATGCTTTGGCCATGAAGAAATGGTTGAAGGTGCCAGAGATGTTTATCTTGGAGAATACTTAGCAGGGTCAGGACACCCAACTATAAATATCTGAAGAGCTCTCAAATGGGATAAATGTTAGATTTGTTCACAGTCCCAGAGAGTAGAAGTAGGAGCAATAGTTTAACATTTGGAAGGGCAGATTTTGGCTCAATGTAAGTTAGAACTTCGTATAAGAGTTGTCTCAAAGTAGAATGGGCTGCCTTGAAAGATCTACTGGTTTTGATGTTCCTTGATCTTAGAATTTTTTTTATTCTTTTGCTATTGTTCTTCAGTCACGTTTGGTTCTTTGTGATCCCATTTGCAGTTTTCTTGGCAAAGAAAGATACAAGAGTGGTTTACCATTTCCTGCCATTTCTCTTCCTTCCGATTTATTAATTCTATATAAATTACCCTGCCTTTGTTTGGGTAATCATTCCAGACATATTTGTTAAAATTTAAATGTACTATATCATTCACCGATGGATTCATAGCTTACAAAAATGTGAGAAGGCTAGTTCTAACAAATGAAATGATTACATTGATAGCAGTAGTATACCCATGAATTGCTAAATTTGTTTTTCTTTCTTCAGTTCCCAACAGGCTACCTATGCTTATGAAACACTGTACATTTTACTTTCCTAAGCCTCCTTGCCCTTCTCTTAAGGTCTCCGTGATTTTACTATTCTTTCTGTGTTCCCCATTCCAAGAAGCTACTTTATCTGTCCCACTCTAATACCAACTCGTTTCAAGAAATCCTAAACAAATTCAAGAGGAACTGTCTCCCAAGCCCTCCTCTCCTCCAACTACTCCAGGGTCTCACCTATTTCAATCATGAGAAAAATGGTATTCAAAAAGATGAGGCAATTGACAAAGTTTATGAAGATCCGTTCTGTTTACCATTGAGGAAAAAAAATGTCCAAAGTAGAGCTGGGATTTTGAGGTTCAGGGTAGGAATAAGGAGAATTGGAATCAGGTTGGTTTGGGCACTAGGGAAGCCAAGTCCATCATGTGTGTATGATGGAGGCATCTAGTATATAGGAGGTTAAAGGCTGGGCCAGGGAAGGAAGTTGGGTCACGTAGCCAAGGAGTGGGAATCAAAGATACCTTATAGTAGCCAAAAGGATACTTCTAAGGACCCAGCCAGCCCAAAGAGAAATGGGTGCCCATGGATTACAACACACCCTGAGTCGACACTGCTGCCTCTGAGCAAAAGGGATTCGGTGATAAGCAGGCCTGATACTGAAGCGGACCAGTTGATGGTGATCTCCTAGCATCAATTTTCTTTGGCGGGCAGGATCTGTTGAGAGCATATTCAGGGGAAAGTGGGTAAAGAGATTATGAAGAATTGCACTCAGGATAGAGTAACAAATCAGACAGTTTTTAGGCAGATCTAGGGTTTTAAACTGAGGCAACTTGCTTATCGTGTTATTCTTTATGGCAATAAGGAACTATCAAATTACTTGGAGTAAGAATATTGGCACTTAGCTTTTCTTATTAGATTGTTCACGAGTAGCAGTGATCATTCTCTGAGAAATATGTACAGCAGGTTCAGGTTTACAAAACCTTTAGTCCCTTTAGTGTTAACAACTATACCTGTGTAACATGGAATTCATTTCTGCCCCAAAGAAGCTTCATGCCTCTGAAGTCTGGCCAAGAGACTGTATTAATCCAGTTGCTTTACTAAGCTGGGTCCAATTCACCAAAATTAGGACTCCCACAAATACACCTTGACTGATTTACCCCCCACTCTTAGATTCCCTTTCTGTCCCCTACTAAGTTTTAGGCTGTTTTACTAGGTTGTAGTCAGGAGCCCGGGGGGGGGGGGGATAAAGGCTGCTGACCAAGGAATTCTCGAAGGTTATGCCGTGGCACAGCTTGGCTCAAGCCCCGCAAATGATCGATGAGAGAAAAAGTGTCAATGAGTCTTGAACGCACAGCATCGGCTCTGGCCACTGCTGTTGGCTCAAAGTTCTCAGGAACCTCAGGCAATTCAGCTGACTGTGAGGAAAAAGAAGAATTAGGCAAGGACAATGGCCCTGTTTAAAAAACAACAAAGAGGGATTGGGGGAAAGGATGAACAGTACCATGATGAATGGCGGAAGATGGGAAAGTTTTTGCCCTTACTCCCAATCACCTTCATCTTTGTCCTTCAGATACTGCAGGATCCCCTACCTAATGAATTGTCTAGCAGTAGCAGCTGAGGCACACTCAGTGTACCCAGTTTCACAGTAGTGGAGCTCTAAAACAGAAGACCAAAGATATAAGAAGGAAGTCTCACAGCAATTGCTCAAGTAGGGTTGAGGAATCACTTGTATAATGACAATTCCAATCCAGAACTCTGGCATTAGTACCAGGCAAGAAGCCAGAGGACAAGAAAACTGAGGGAAAATGATGGATGAAAGCAAAAAAAGGAGAGGCTGAGAGAGGGATGGAGAGAATATGCAGAAAGAGAAAAGTGAAAGAGGAGAAAAATGAACATAAGAAAAACAGAATGGCAGAGGCAGAGAGAGACAGAAAGGCAGTAGAGTGGAGAGACAGATAAGAGGCACAAAGGAAAACAGAGGAAAGGGGGAGATCTAGACACAGAGAGGGAGACTGATAGAAGAAAAAAAGGGAGAAAAGAGGGAAAGATAGAGAGGGAGAGGTGCAAAAAGTGAAGGTGGGGATAGGAAGTGAGAAAAGCAGAGAAGGTAAGAGAAGAGGCAGAGAGCTGAGAGGAGAAAAGAGAGACCAGAGAGCCCTTAAGAGTAGTTTGCTTTTGCCTTTCTTTGTATCCCCCAAAAAACCGCCTACTAAAGGGCCTAAGGCACAGAGTAGGTCCTTAATAAATGCTAGTTGCACCGAACTGAGAAGTGGCAGAGACAATAGAGAAAAGGCAGAAATGGGGGGGGAGAAGAGACATCTGGGAGAGGGAAAGGAGAGAGGAATGTCGAGAGAAGGTTAAGTGTGGGAAAATACAGGCAAGGATGGGAGAGAAAGGGGAGAGGAGGAAGAAAAGAAATAAGGTAGGGGTAAAAGACAGGAAAGCAGAAGGGGTGAGAGGTGGGAAGAGAGAGTCAGGTGGAAGAGACCTAGAAAGGTAAGAAAAGGAGGGGATGAGATGAGATGAGAGAAGTTATGGAAAGAAACACAATGGGGAGGGGGGCAGAAGAGGGGAAAGCACGGGAATTCCTGAGAGCAGAGGCTCTTACGCTGCTAGGGCTTATGAACTACGGGAATCCCGCGCCTGGATCACTTCCTGATACTGAACTTTTCAATGGCTAAAGCTCTCCTCCCTCAGTCCCCACTTCCTGCTCCAACTCAGCGCCAGGCTCTCTGCGGCCCACTGTTCTCCGACTTCATTCCAAGGCTTTCTCTTTCCACTCAACCTTCATCAGCCCGGAACTCTTTCCGAAGTCTCCCTACCCCCCAACCAGACCCCGCTCTCAGACCCAGACGAGCTCCCCTCCTCCCCAAAGTCCCGCGCAACCGCAGGCACGCCTCCGCTCCGCTTCGCCCCACCCCCCAACTCCCTGTCCCCTCCTCCAAGCCCCGCCCCTTCTCTCTCGCCCATTCGGCGGTTACCAGGTTGCCCCAGCCTGCTCAAGCCCAAGCGATCCCAGCCAATCCAGAGCTGCCACACTGCGGCACGAGCCGCGGGTGGGGGTTGTGACTTCCGGCTGCCGGGGCGGCTGGTTTCAGACAGCGCGAGGCTGAGGGGGCACTTCACGCGAGTTGCCTCCCGCACCGCTGTCGAGACAACGCCTGGACCGGTCCTACCCGCCTCCCTCCCCCCCTCCTTTCCTGCCTTGACCCCGCTCGCCGAGCCGGCTCGCCGTCATGGCCATGCGCCGCCGCCTCGCTCTGCTCCCGGGTCTGGCGCTGCTCCTGGCAGCGGCCTGCCCGGCCGCTGACGCCACCTCCGATGTGCTGGAGCTCACGGACGACAACTTCGAGCGGCGCGTGGCCGATACGGGCAGTGCCGGCCTAATGCTGGTGGAGTTCTTCGCGCCCTGGTGAGAAGACCCGGAGCTTCATGGGAGGCCTGAGGGAGAGGACCGGGCTGGGGGGCGGGAGGCCGGAGGGAGGCCGGGAGCTCGAGGCCGGTGGCCGCCGCCCCGCCAGCGGACCCCAGGCTCGATCCCGTAATCCCCTCTCCTAGAGGGGCCTCCCGGGAGAGCGCAGAGAGGCCCATCCCCGGCTTGACAGCCAGGGTTTCCTCCGCTCCCTTGGCCCGAGTCTCCACGGGTGGGGGTTGGGGGAAAGTCTCTGGGGCCTCGATGGGCGCAGGGCTGGGCCACATTACCGGCATTGTTGCTGCACTTCCTCTTTGCAAAGTGCTTTAATCAGTTTCCCCTCTCCTCGTGGAATCTCGTTTTCTTCATTTGCGTACACTTCTGTGTGATAACTTTTTCCTTTTACAAATGAGACAGCTGAAGAAGACTTACGCTTTGTAGGCATGTATCCCATTAAGAAGAGGCCCTTGGGTCCCTGGTGCATTTTCTTACCCTACTTGCCCCACTCCCCACAGTCATTGGTTTCATACCAAGGTCACTTCACTTCTGGCTGCAGAACAGTCCTGAGTAGTTCTTAAGGCCTTTATTGGCCATAATAAGTATGAAGTTAATAGTTGTTTATAGGGCTTTTTTCTGAGAGGAAAAGACGTGGTAAGTATAACATTTAATTTCTGTTTACCTGGGTGACCCGTTATTTGAGTAAAGAGACTTGGGAGGTAGTTGTTGGTATGAAAAAAGCCTGAAATTTACCTTCAGGTAGAAATTGCTGAAGTAAATTGGTATTATATTTGTAAGAAACTCCCAATGTGTGCAGTACTTTTTGTTGGAGGAGAATGAATCTTTTTCAAAGTGATTGGTAGCCCCAGTCACAGCTACCAAGGAATGTGGATTCTGTTAAAGAAGCCTTAGTGTAAATCAGAATGACTAATTCAGTAAGTCTTTACTTTTTTTCCCCCCAGAAACATCCTCTCACTTTTGCAGCAAAGTCTGCCCAAGGTTGGCATAACAAATCCATAGTTCTATCATTTGACCTGCCTGATTTGGTTTGTTCTTCACATTTACTGTATTGTCTATTCCTAGTACCTCACCCCTTGGGGATTTGACTGTTTTATACAAGTTTTGTTTGTGGTTATTCAGTGTAGGTTAGTGTGGCCCACCTAAGACCTGTACTGGCTTTGTGACCTTGGACAAGTCTCTTAATTTTTTAGTGCCCCAGGCAGATCCACTATAAGTTGCAGAGAAGGTGCAGTCCTGCATTGGAGGAGTAAATTTCCTGTATTGATATAATCACAGGTTTGGTCTCTATTTCTATCCTATTGTGATTAAAAGGTATACTTTAAAATTTGTAATCATACGACACTCCTATAGCTAATAGTTGGTGGTATCATGGTGTATCAGAAAGTTCTCTATAAGACTTAGATCCATACAACTAGGTTTGGCTCCAAAATTTAATGCCCGTATAACTATGGACAAGTCATAAAACTTCTCTAAACCTCAGATTCCTCATTTTTAAAGTAGGGGTGTTCACATCCTCTGCCTCATGTTTAAGCATTATAAAAAGTTGTTGGTGCTATTATTACCTATTCTTTATAAGCTCTATAAAATATATTGTTTTTAAAGAACAACACTTCTCAGCTTAATGATAATGCCCTACTCTTGAATAATTCTTGACAATGTACATAGTGTTTTCATATGCATGAGTCCAAAATTCCCATTTTACAACTGAGGAAACTGAGGCTTGACCAAAGTCCCATGGAAATCTGTCTGCTGACTCATAGACTTGTGCTTTTATACTATGCCACACTGCCTGTGTCCCAATATGTAGTCCCCCTGTCCCCTGAAACTAGAATGAGACAGTTACAGAAACTTATCAAAATTTGTAGAATCCTCTGGGGTTAACATCAAAAGTGAATTACTGAGGTATGTGGATTGTGTTCCAAAGCAGAAATTGTTCCAGTTAGTCTCATCTGTTCTTCTTCATTTACTGTGATGGCTTTGAAGACCTTAATTGTATTAAGGTGTTCAAAGTCTTTCTTTGCCCAGTGGTGGGTATTAAAACTTAAGGTATCCCTCCAGCTGCTGTCATATGATGGCGTCTATTATATTTAAAATTGAAGGCATTCTTCAGTAAACTATTTAGTGTCTTTTCTATGGACTACATCTCCCATCATGCACTAAACCATTCCAGGAAATTGGGTGTGGATTCATGCTGTGGTGTCTGCTTTTAATTGGCTTAGAAGATAGTATCAGAAAAGATAAATTTTGTGTATAACTTGGAGTTGTTATCCTTGAATGGGACTTCCAATACAAATAATTAAAATTCATGTTTTAAAACTTTTCAGCTGGAAATATTAATTGAATAATGTGTTCCTTCATAGACACACAGCTAGCTAACTACCTAGGTTCTAATTCTACATAAGCCATTTAGTTTCATTTTTCTAATGGGTAAATTGGATAGTGGTGCGTACTTCACAGTTCTGTGAGAGATCAAATAGGATAGTAACTGTATTTTGCAAACTTTAGTGCTATATAAATGTCAGCTATTGTTTTATTATTACTAAAGGCTAAAAAGTTTGTTAGCAGAGTAAAATAGGCTTATTTTGAGCAAATTCTACTTTATATTTTGAAGCACTTTCTAATTCTAGTGCAGTTGTATCATTATTTTATGGATTTCTCATTCCCTTCCCTTATCTTTCTTCTCACTGAATGGAATTGGTATTGTTCCAAAGAGGTATAGTAACTGTATTGAGAAGATAAGGGTAAAGTACTGTTGAATTTTTCTTGTATCATTCTTTCTGTTTCTGTAAGGAAATGAATATCTCTTTAAATTTTCTTGAAAAATCAGGGCTAAAAAATAGGTATTGGTAGCAATTGAAATGAGTTTCTGCTATGGCCTCTAATGTGACATACGTTGTTTGGCCTCTAATGGAAACTAAACATGCAAATAAAGTTTTTGAAAATTGGAAAGTTAAATATTTCTATTATGTCATTTGGAACAGTGGAATGTGCAGTGTATTTCTACTCAAGGATTTAGATTTACATCTTGGCTATTCCTCTTGCTACTTGTGACATTTGTTAAGTCACTTTGGGTCTGCATTTTCTTTTTTAATGCCTTGTTAAATGAAGTCATTGACCTCTGATGTCCTTTGATGGTCCTATGATCTAATAATGCCTTTGAACCAGCTATGTTTCTTCCTGCTGTAATGCCCTAACTTTATTTTTTTTCTCATTTAGAATAATCTGTTCCATCCTGTGAAACCCTACCTGTCTTGTTCAGGGCCCAAGTCCTACTTCTCTGCTAATCCTTCACCAACTAAGTCTTTTCTTCCTTTTCTGAGCAACATCCTGTAATACTTATTGATACATTAAGTCCTGCCTCAATCAGATTGTAAACTCCTTGAAGGAAGTACCTTTATATTTTGTATCACCCAGTGCCTAATAGAGTCAATACAAGCAATTTAGCACCTACTGTGTGCCAGGCACTCCTTATCCCTGGGGATACTAAGACAAGAAAGAAATAGTCCCTGCCTTCAAGGAGCTTGTGTTCTATCAGTAGCATTAAGGAAAAAACAAACAAACAACCAAAAACAACTATTTAATGAAGTGAATAGCATGTCTAATAAGCCAGAATTCCAAATACCTATTTAGCTTTCCAGATTTGACAAAGTATAACCAGTAAAATAATAAACATTCTCTGTAGTAGAGATCTTGGGGTATTAGTGGCTCATAATTCAGAGATCTAAATGTTGCAGATAGGTATACCTATCTTTTCGATTGAAAGAACCTTTTAAAAGTCATTAGGACTATTAGATTTGACTTGAGCTAAACAGAATAAATGAATCTGTGGTCAAGAAGGAATTTTTAAAAGTTGGCAAAACCATAAATGTTTCACTTGTACCTTCTCAAATACATGTAATATAAATTAACTTTTTTTTAAATTTCAAAATTAACCGTGTTGTGGTTGCCTCCATCCCTTGTGTTTTGTTTTTTTTCTTAATGGGGCAGTGGGGTTAAGTGACTTGCCCAGGGTCACACAGCTAGTGAGTGTTATGTGTCTGCAGTCGGATTTGAACTTAGGTCTTCTTGATTCCCAAGTGAGGAACTCTATCCACTGGGCCACCTAGCTGCCCCCATCCCTTGTTCAGTTAAGAATTCTTCCCCCAGCCATGCCTGTGAAAAGGACCTGATTTTATGTGACCTTTAATATTTTACATATACTTTTTGAGCTCATTATGGTACGTGATGTAATATGGTGATCTAAATTTAATTTCTGCCAAGTTGTTTTCGAATTTTCCCAGCAATTCTTGTCATATAGGCAGTTCTTCCGAAGTAATTCATGATCTTGGGTTTGTTATTTGTTAAACTCTAGGTTGACATTAGTTGTTAGTGATTCTTCCTTGTCTGGTCTAACATGTACCTTTTAAGTTAGCTTATTTTGGTGGAAATTGATATTTGGTTATTTAAAAACCCATTTTCAAAGACTATTTATCTCTTAGTTGGTTTTAATTATCCTAAGTGGTT